AAAACAACCACGACCATGATTATAACAACCACGACCATGATTATAACAACCACGACTATGATTAGAACACCTACGACTATGATCATAACAACCACGACCATGATCATTTCAACCACGACCATGATTATTTCAACCACGACTATGATGATTTCAACCACAACTATGATTATAACAACCACAACCATGATTATAACAACCACGACCATGATTTCAATAACCACGATCATGATTATAACAACACCACGACCATGATTATAACAATCAAGACCATGATTATAACAACCACGATCATGATTATAGCAACACCACGACCATGATTATAACAATCAAGACCATGATTATAACAACCACGACCATGATTATAACAACTACAACCATGATTATAACAACACCACGACATGATTATAATAATGAAGACCATGATTATAACAACCACGATCATGATTATAACAACCACGACCATGATTATAACAATCAAGACCATGATTATAACAACCACGACCATGATTATAACAACCACGACCATGATTATAACAACCAGACCATGATTATAACAACCACGACCATGATTATAACAACCACGACCATGATTATAACAACCACGACCACGACCATGATTATAACAACTACAACCATGATTATAACAACACCACGACATGATTATAATAATGAAGACCATGATTATAACAACCACGATCATGATTATAACAACCACGACCATGATTATAACAACACGACCATGATTATAACAACCACGACCATGATTATAACCACGACCATGATTATAACAACCACCACCATGATTATAACCACGACCACCTATCTAATATACTATGGGAATAGCCGTGTGGCTAAGTGTCTATGCTGTTCTGGGCAGCCGAAACGACACGCCTTTTCTGCATCACCGGACTCACCAGGCAGAAGGCCACTATTCGCCAATATGTAATATATATATATATATATATATATATATATATATATATATATATATATATATATATATAATCAACGACCTCACCAGCAAGGAATCGAACCCTCGACCTACTGGGTGGGACTAGGGAACGCTTACCGGCTAGCCCACAAGGACACTAAAAGCAGTTCTAGACTCTGTTATATTTCACACAAAGCCTGTTCATCGAGCTGATGGCGCCGTGAACCTCATTGGGAAATGCTCGTGCCTCGTATGTGGTGTCAATGAGGAATCTTAATTTGCACTCCCTCGAGAGACGTAGACTGAGGGGCGATATGATAGAGGTGTATAAATGGAAGTCAGGGCTGAATAAAGGGGACATTACAAAGGTACTCAAACTATCCAACCAGAAGCGAACTCATAACAATGGTTTTAGATTAGAGAAATTTAGATTTAGGCGCGAAATAGGTAAACATTGGTTTAGAAATAGAGTAGTGGATGAGTGGAACAAGTTACCAGATATCATCAGTAACTCGAATATGCTGGATAGCTTCAAATATAGGATGGATGGATATATGAGCAATGGGGGTTGGGTGTAAATAGGACTGCCCAGTATGTGCCAATAGGCCCGCTGCAGTTTCCTCCATTCTTATGTTCTCATATATATATATATATATATATATATATATATATATATATATATATATATATATATATATATATATATATATATATATATATATATATATATATATATATATATATATATATATACATATATACTGTTACGCCGTCTCTTAATTTACTTTAATATCCAGGTTCTAGGCGTAACCAAACAAAAAAAGTGAAGTAAATCAGAAGGGAATAAAAATAAAGTAAACCTTTAAGAATTTAATTAAATTAAATATTAACACAAAAAAGAGCCTCGTAGGCTGTCACAACAAATTGATTCACTATCGAAACTTTTAAGACGCAAATGATACTAAAACATCGAAACATCAAAAATTACGTTAACACTGCATAAACATATAAAATAACTAACACTGAAATTAACTATTGTGAAACAACACTGAATTACTTAAATGTAACTAAGCAAGCAGTGATGGATACAGAAAAGACATGAATATGTACATTGGTGGCGACAGGAACAACACAGAAATAAAATAAAGTATAAGTAACAGGTGACGGGTGTCACTAAAAAGAAGGTGAACTGAAGGACAAGAGGACTGGACTGAACTCGGTGTGCTGGTGGAGTACTATATATAGGGTCGGCTCCCGCCAGTGAGACACGCCGGTGAAACATGGGTCGTTTAACAAAGCAGATGGTCGTTAGAGAAACAAAAAATGATTGTTACAATACTAAATGAAGAAATAAGATGGGCTTGAACAAATAATAAGAGTTAAAACCTTAACAGCACAGTAAATATAACATATCATTACAGGAATAATATGGAACAACATGGAAGCATGCTATAAGAAATAATAGAAAAATACGACACGGTCGTAACAATATATATATATATATATATATATATATATATATATATATATATATATATATATATATATATATATATATATATATATATACTAATGTCATTTATAAAACAATATGCTATTCATTTTTCATAAATTTAGGTTTAAATTTGAATCAATAAATAAACACATTGAATATGTTGTGTAAATCTCCGTCTCAATGAATTTAAGAGTCTTTTTTTCCATTTGGGGTCTGACCGACCCCATGGTACCTAAGTTGTTCCGGACTGGGAGGGTTACAATTTAAGGGTTACAAAATCCATAATAGGGTATAGGAAGATTCTACATAAACTCTTCAATATATTTATTACCAGAAGAAAATTCGTTTCACTTTATCCACCTCCACAGACACTTCGGTGCCAGACAACTGGTGGTGGAGACGGGTGGTGGTGGCCGGGTGGATGGTTGGGGCGCTGGTGTTGATCAGGAGCTACGCTGGTAACCTCATGTCTGTACTGGCTGTACAATACATCAGGCAGCCATTCCAGACTCTCCGGGACGTCCTGGACGAACCTTCCACCACTATGATAGTGCAGATCAACACAACTAATGTCCAATATTTCCGTGTAAGTTTGTGTGTGTGTTTACTAAGATACTGTAACCGCCAATCAGTCGGTTAGAGGGTGAATAATACTTCTCACGTCGTACACGAACATTATAATTCGGTCAAGTAAGTCATACATAGGCACTCTTACATAAATGTTTAATCCAATATATATTTACATAACAATCATGGCTATGTAATTAGTCTCATCTTAACACAAAAACAATGATACAGTCTACCT